TTAGAGCAGCATGAGACATCAGAAGCATCATAGTGATGCTGCAGCAAAGAGGTACACTATGTGCACAATTATTAGGTGAGTATTCTGACCAAATCATCATTTTTCTGCATATTGTCCAACACCAAGCTGTATAAACTTGAATGCTTATTGGATTTATGCTTAATCGGGTGATGTGTTTTTGTGTAATTATGGGAGGGTGTGGCCCAAGGAGATCAACACTCTATATCAAGGTGTGCATAATTAGGCAGCTTCTTTTCCTCAGGCAAAATTGGCCAGAAAAAAAAAAAAAAAAAAAAAAAAAAAAAAAAAAAAAAAAAGATTCAACTGACTCTGAAAAGTCAAAAATTGGGGAAAAAAAAAAAAAAAAAAAAAAAAAGTATTTCAGAGGGATGCAGCACTCTTGAAATAAATATTGGGGTGTGATCACAGAACCAGACTTTTGGTGCAAATAGGCAAAAGGGATGCAAGAAAGTGTTGATAAAAAAAAAAAAAAAAATGCCACTTAACTGCCAAAGATTTGAGGAGAATCAAATGTGAAGCTACCAGGAATCCACTATCCTCCAGTTCGGTGATATTCCAGAACTGCAACCTACCTGGAGTGCCCAGAAGTACAAGATGTTCAGTGCTCAGACACAAGGCCAAGGTAAGGAAGACTGAAACCCGGACCACCACTGAACAAGACACATAAGTTGAAATATCTGAAGACCCTTTTTCTGTTTTATGGACTGATGAGATCAGAGTGACTCTAGACGTAGCAGATAGATGGGCCCGTGGCTGGATCAGTTGTGGGGCACAGAGCTCCACTTCAAATGCCAACAAGGTGGAGGTGGGGTACTGGTATTATTAAAGAGCTAGTTGGACCTTTTCAAGCCAAACCTACTGCCAATTTTTAGAAGACACTTCCGTCAAGTAGGTAGTACAGGAAAAAGTCTGCATCTTTCAAGAAGGCCATGATATTTATGCAGGACAATGCTCCATAGCATGCATCAAAGTAATCCACTGACTTGCTAGCCAGTAAAGCCCTTAAAGATGAAAGAATAATGACATGGCTTCCTTCTTCACCTGGCCTAAACTCTACTGAGAACTTGTGGGCCTTTCTTAAAATGGAACGGTGTACGGTGAAGAAAAACAGTACACCTAGCTGAACAGTGTCTGGGAGGCTATGGGTGCTGCTACACAAAAAGCTGACCGTCAACAGATCAAAAAAAATGGACGGACTCTATGAATGGAAGGCTTATGACTGTTATGGAAAAGAAGGGTGGCTATATTTGTCACTTTTTTTTTTTTTCTTTTAAATGTCAGAAATGTCTCTTTGTAAATTTTAAATTGTTTGTTTTTCGTCTGTTAAAGTGACAATATTAAACAAACAAGTGAGATAGGAAAATGTGTTTGTTTTTAGTTTAGTTGCAGCATAATTCTGCACACCAATAGTTGCCAAATAACTGTGCACACAGATAGTCTCCGAAGAAAGCCAAACCTCACTTTTACTTTCTTAAATATTCAGGTTTGAGGTTTATTAACATTTTGGATTGATCAAGAGCACTGTAGTTGTTAAATAATGAAATGAATCCTCAAAAATACAACTTGCCTAATAGTTGTGCAGTCTGTCTTTTTTTTCTCAATTCCCATACTTCTCAATTTAAACAACTATGTCAGGAGCAAAAAATAAGCATTTCAAACATATGCAATATTTGCACGGGTGAGTTGACCGATCACCTCAAGATAAAAAAAAAAAAAAAAAAAAAAAGTATTTCCATACTACATGCACCCCAGATTTGACAGACATCTGGACACAAAACCAAAATGTTGTGATTAGGCAGATACATATATCAGCACCTTCTGGTACCATCTCTCATTCGTTAGCCAACCTTAAATGCTGCTGGGAAAATAAAACACAATCTTGTAGTTTTCCACATTTTCACTTAACTATAGAGTTCTTGAGGAGGCAATATGTACTATCAGCATGAGGCCAGGCATGACAAGGCAGCAGCGCCCAGGTGTGAGTAGACCTAAGCGATTGCTTTTAGCTTCAGGAATCCCCTAAATGGGGAAAATATAAACCTAAGAAATATTAAAGCAATGTTGACCCCAAAACCAAAAATTTTATATATTGCAGCTTACCAATCAGATGTGATGGCTGCACTAGTTTTCTATTTCGAAGCTTTTTTTCATTCAGTTTTCACCTGGTGATCTGGCCAATAACACACCTCCTGTATTAGGGTGCCCCCACTCTGGATGAAGGACCACAGGTGGCACCTTTGTACAGCAGCACTATTAGTTTGAGGGGAAGGTAAAGTAAGATGTACTGGTGGATTTTCTTTTTCCTATGATCAATCACCTGAAGGTAGCTGCATATAACCCATCATAACTTAACGTAGGGGTGTGGAAATTTTTGAAAAAACTACTTGTCCAAGGGATTAAAATGGGGTCCCAATCTACTTGTCCTGATAAAAAAAAATAATTTTAACCAAATCCGTTTTTAACTACCTGCCGACCGCAGATAGCCGAATGACGGCTGCACTGCGGCCGGCCAGTTCTGAGTGGACGTCATATGATGTCCTCCCAGAACGCGCTCTCCTGCGTGCCCCAGGGGGCGCGCACCTGGCGATCTCCAAGATCGCTGTGTCCTACGGACACAGCTGATCACGTGATGTGGTAAAAGGCCAATCACAGCGGCCTTTTACCACGTGATCAGCGGTGTCCAATGACACGCTGATCAGAGGGAAATGCAAGTGCCGGTTCTCGGCTGCACTTTCCTCACGCTGTCAGATCGTGAGGAAAGTACTGCCGAGAACCGACAGTTGTCAGAGCGGGGATCGGCACCGATCATCAGGGCACTGATGATCGGTGCCCAGCAGTGCCACCCGCAAGTTCCGCCCACCTGTGCCCAGCAGTGCGCCCACTAGCTCCGCCCACCTGTGCCCAGCAAATCCCCACCTGTGCCCAGCAGTGCACCCACCTGTGCCACTCTGCAGTCACACACCTGTGCCCAGAAGTGCCACCTACCTGTGCCCAGAAGTGCCACCTACCTGTGCCTAGCAGTGCCACCCACCTGTGCCTAGCAGTGCCACCCACCTGTGCCCACCAGTGCCACCCACCTGTGCCCACCCACCAGTGCTGCCCACCAGTGCTGCCAGTCAGTGCCACCAGTCAGTGCCCAGGGGTTGTGCCAGTCAGTGCCACCAGTCAGTGCCCAGCAGTGATGCCAGTCAGTGCCGTCTATCAGTACCCATCATCAGTGTCACCTATCAGTGCCGCCTATCAGTGCTGTCTATCAGTGCCGCCTATCCATGCCACCTCATTAGTACTGCCTATCAGTGCCCTTTAGTGCTGCCTATCAACGCACATCAGTGCTGCCTCATCAACGCACATCAGTGAAGGAGAAAAAAATACCTGTTTGAAAAATTTTATAATAGAAACAAAGAAACTTTTTTTTTTTTTTCAAATTTTTTGCAATTTTTTTATTTATAGCGCAAAAAGTAAAGCGCCCAGTGGCGATTAAATACCACCAAAAGAAAGCTCTATTTGTGAGAAAAAAATGATCAAAATTTCATATGGGTACAATGTTGCATGACCGCGCAATTGTCAAAGTGCGGCAGCGCTGAAAGCTGAAAATTGGCCTGGTAAATAAGGGGGTATAAGTGCCTGGTAGGCAAGTGGGGAAATCTAAGGTGCTTTTAGGAATGTCTGGGGCTTTTAAAATCGAAAGGGTCTTTATGGCGACTTAATTTTTTAAATAAGAATTAAAAAAAAGAATATATGTGGTATGGACTTTTTTTTTTTTTTTTTAAACAGTTTAGACCATTTGGCAGTTGTCTTGATCCAAATTTTCTCTACCTAGTTAGTCTCTGCCTGGAATAAAGGTTTACAGAATTCTGTGGCTAGCAGATTTATTTTAGGGTGCAAGGAAATACCAGCTTCAATTGATAGCAACAGAAATATCACAAAAGCTAATAAACAAATTTTTTTTTTTTTTTTTTTTTTTTTTATATGATTGGATACTTGGCTATTGGATTTGCCTTCCCTTTTAATAAAGTAGGCCTAGAGGCAAATGTTAACAAAAACTATAATTTATGAAACTGAACTTTGATTCTCCCCTTCAATAGAGATGAGGACCAGGTGCCTAGGCCGTCATGTAGGCATAAGTGAGCTTTGAGCCTTACTAGTTATCCATGTCAGTAAAACTGGTAACATAGCTTTATGAAAGCAGTTAGGTTTAGGGTCACTTTCATTCATGATTCCAGTTAGGTTGAGGGAAAAAAAAATCCCCATGCAGTTAAAACTACTTACACTGCAAGGAATTTAGCAAACATTGTTGCAGAATCATACCACCCTCTCTTCTGAAGACACAGCTTTCAGTTTCACCATTTTCCTTCTACAAAGAATTTCCGAACTGGAAGGCCGGTCATTATTATAACCCACCTAAGCAAAGTCAGTGCTGTACTGAGAAAACGTGCACTGTCTGTACCTGTTAAGAACATTAAAGCCCTTAGAGAATACCAAAAAAAGGAATGTCTGAAATTTGACTTGTATCCCAGTGCGGACATCTGAGAAACCCTAAGAGCCAATTGCACAGGCACAAATTAGACTTTTTGGGGGTATTCTGTGCACCAAAGGTGTATAAAAGGTTGAATACAGGAAGGAAGCAGCATATGAAATTGTTGACAGATTAAAAAGCTAGAGCAGCTGCAGACTGAAATGGTGAGGTCATTCTGATAAGATTAAAATTACAAAATGGTTTGCATATATATTTGTTAAAAAGTGGAATTTAATTTTAAGATTCCCGTGACACTGGAAAAATTTAACCTTTTCATACCATTTTCAAAGAAAGCCAACTTAGTAATTACTTTTCAATAAAGAATCATGAGACTGCTTCTCTTCAATTGGTTAACAAGCAACAGGCTATATATACAGTATATATATATATCTCTATCTATCTCATTTCACACAATATATGTTCACACAATGAAAATATATATATGAGAGTATTCCAGTCTCACCAAGTTCACCAGCTGCATTGCGGCCGCCAACTGCATACAGATGACCTTTCAGGGCACTTAGGTGGAAAAAGGTACGTTTTTCATTTAAAGAAGCCACTTGCATCCACTTGTTGTAGCGTGGGTCAAATCGAAACACAGTATCCACAGCTGTTTTTCCTTTCGTATCATAATTACTTTGGCCACCGACCACATATAGAAAATTGCCAATAACTGCTATTCCATGCTGGTACCGGGGAGCATCCATGGGAGCTAAGGATTTCCACTCATGTCCTTTCTCATCGTACATACGCAGCTCTTTGCTAACCACCAGCTGCTGCCTTAAAACTCCTCCCAACGTCACCAAGTGGGTGTTATCTGAGCGAATGGCAGTTCTTTCAGACTGCATGACTGGCTGCATGTACGGCATCATTTGGTAATTGCTAGCTTCCAAAAGTAAATTAACACACGTGTTGTCAGTTCTCATGAAGTCAACTGTTTGGACGTGATTTATAAGGTCTTGTGGCGACATGAGAGGAAATCGAATGTTCTTCATAATTTTTGCAGCATAATCCATGCGTGAATCTTCGTAACGCAGCCAACGGCATGCCGCTTTGAAAAGTTCAAGCTCGCTACATTGCTTAAGGCTATTACTAGAAAGCACAAAGGCAAGTCGTTCAAATGGGAGCTTCACAAACTCCCCTGTAGTTAATAGGGGTGGGAAATTTTTCAAAATAAAGTTATTGACATATTTATCAACTTCAGTGAGATTGTAGGTGTTTGCAATTCGTCCAACCTCTACACAGTTCTCCAGAGTGACCTAAAATAAAGAAAATACATTTTACAAGCGACAAAACATTAGGACGCTGGGAATGGCCCATCAGGCCCTTACAGAAATAAATATAGAAAATAAACTCACATTAATTAACAACACATACTAATATGCATTGTTGGTAACCCAGAAGTCTTTTAAGAAGTATAGAGAATCATGTTGTGATGGATTGCAGAATACTTAAATGGACAGTAAGTAGGATACTGACAGATATAATGTTTCCTGCAAATTAGTAGTTTATTAACTAAATTTAAATAAAATCTTGCCTTGAACTGGTTTTATCTTGCAATGAAGTGCCAAGAAGTGCTTGGACAGTGGTAGAGAAAAATGACAGTATACTAATGGTGAATGCATATTTTGAACCATTATTGCAGATTTTTTTTCTGTGACGGACATCTATTACATATATTTCACTTGTATATTTTGCTACTGTACAGTATTTCTGAAATAACCACTAGAGGGAGTTCTGCATCAAATGCCGCCCCATTTAACCTTCCTGCTGCCATATCAGCTACACAGATGATGGAGACTTTGATTGTATGATAAAAACTGTAAAGTGTAACCTGTATGTAGACTGCAAAGCAGAAGGCAGTGCCCTAGTGTTCAAATTTGTGTCACCATCTGCATACTTAAAAATCACAAACTTTACAAAATTAAAACACCAATACATGTCAGCCACTGCTGGGTACTACTTACTTTCCTATGCTTGCTCATCTAGAGCTTTTCTTATTGGCACATTAACTTTACATCAAAATATCTTCCAAATGGCTGCAATTAACGAAAACTGTAAACCCAACATTTCATATTCCTGATATGTGCCTGCTGTACCGTGTACTGCTACAAAAAAGTACACAGTTCTTTTTATTGCTTTTGTGTGAAATCCCTGGTGTTCCTGCCAGTCCTTCTGCTTTCCTATTAATCCTATTAAAAACTAACCACACTGAGCAGGAGAGCACAGCATAGTCCGTTCTCTAGCTGTGCTGGGAACTCAACCTGCCCTCCAATGATCTGACTTGCTCTGACACCCCTTTCCCCTCTACACAGCCATTCACTGAAGTTCCATACACTGCTGTTTATCCTCTCCAAACTCTTACACAGCTGAAAACAGAAGGTAATGTGGTCATTTATAAAAAAAAAGGAGGGGAAAAAAGGCATTTATAATGGTTTTTTTTTTTTTTATCTATACACACATTTTACCTTTCATTTCTATTTTAAACTAAATGTGTTGTTTTACAAGGTGAGGGTTTACACTCACTTTAATTTTAACCAAGAAGAATGTAGATTATTTCTGGCTAAATGTTCTATTCCTTTTTATGCTTTTGAGTCCTTTGTGTTCCTGTATAACAGAAATGATACTACTTATATACTAACAAATCTAAAAATATTAGAAAGGAGGAAAATACATTGAGATTGTCACTATAACATTCAATTATTTTCCATGTATTTTACTACTAGCAGAAAGTGATTTATGGCTTTTTTCTTACCAAACCAATCTTTCCAGGTCAATGTCCCATGTACATTGAGAACATAAAATCGACAAATCAAGCATTGTTCAATAAAATGCACATTTACAAGCAGCAGTCAATGAAGTGAATCAATTTAGACATCAACCTGTGTAACAAACATACTATGAACAACTACAAAAAGCAGTTCACGCACAAAAGACATTCATAAACATCATGTTTGTGTATAGTGTTCAGCACATGTTGAAGTGATTTGTTCATTAGTGTTATAATTGCATTTAGCGGTTAAAGTGGTTATAAAGACTAAACATTTACATTAATGCATTCCTCACATTATGGAAATTGAGTATCCCCCCTCAGCTTAAGGTAATCGGGTATCCCCCCATACCTGGTCGATCCCCTAAGGAAGCTGGAAATCACTGTAGTAGGAACAGCCACTGCAGTGATCTCCGCTGGCTTGCGGATCCCATCTAAAGCAGATACCCTGGTGCTTAGCAAACACAGGTGGTGGCTCACTCGGCACGGGTGACATTAAAAAAAACACTCAGGGCGAGTTCACACTAGATGTAGTTAAGTGCGCTAAAAATAGGAAAGGATATACACTATATTGCCTAAAGTATTGGGACACCCCTCAAAATCATTGGATTCGGGTGTTCCAATCACCTCCATAGCCACACGTGTATAAAATAAGGCACCTAGGCATGAATACTGCTTCGACAAACATTTGTGAAAGAATGGGTGGCTCTCAGGAGCTCAGTGAATTCAAGCATGGTACCATAATAGGTTGCCACCTGTGCATCCATGAAATCTCCTTGCTACTAAATATTCTACAATCAATTGTTAGTGGTATTATAATAAAGTGGAAGCAACTGGGAACAGCACCAACTCAGCTACAAAGTGGTAGGCCACGTAAAATGACAGAGCGGGGTCAACGCATGCTGAAACACACAGTACGCATAAGTCGCCAACTGTTTGCAGAGCCAATAAAGACCTCCAAATTTTGAGTGGCCTTCAGACTAGAACAACCGTGCATAGAGAACTTCATGGAATGGGTTTCCATGGCCAAGCAGCTGCATCCAAGCCTTACATCACCAAGTGCAATGCAAAGTGTCGGATGCAGTGGTGTAAAGCACACCACCACTGGACTCTAGAGCAGTGCAGACGTGTTCCCTGGAGTGCCTAATCACACTTCTTTGTCTGGCAATCCGATGGACATGTCTGGGTTTGGCGGTTGCCAGGAGAACGGTACTTGCCTGATTGCATTGTGCCAAGTGTAAAGTTTGGTGGAGGGGGGATTAAGGTGTGGGGGTTTTTTTCAGGGGCTGAGCTTGGTCCCCTTAGTTCTAGTAAAGAGAACCCTTAAGGCGTCCGCATACCAAAACATTTTGGACAATTTCATGCCCCCAGCTTTGTGGGAACAGTTTGGGGATGGCCCCTTCTTGTTCCAACATGACTGCGCACCAGTGCACAAAGCAAGGTCCATAAAGACATGGATGAGCCAGTTTGAGGTGGAGGAACTTGACTGGCTTAACCTCAACCGGATAGAACACCTTTGGGATGAATAAGAGCAGAGACTGCAAGCCAGGCCTTTTTGTCCGACATCAGTGCCTGACCTCACAAATGAGCTTCTGGAAGAATGGTCAAACATTCCCATAGACACTCCTAAACCCTTCTGGACAGCCTTCCCAGAAGAGTTGAAGCTGTTGTAGATGCAAAGGGTGGGCCAACTCAATATTGAACCCTACAGACTAAGACTGGGATTCCATTAAAGTTCATGTGCATGTAAAGGCAGACGTCCCAATACTTTTGACAATATAGTGTACATCGTTCTTACACAGGTTAGTCAACATAGGTGTTAGGAGAGGGGAGGGAACATTTTTTTAAGGCTAGTTAGCTTGAGGCTGGAATTCTACTTTAAGTGCAGGGTAGGTTTTAGAGTTCGACTAAGGAACAGCTGTCAAGAGAGAAATATGAAGCCTGTACATTTCTCTCACGACAAATGTACTTCAAACCAACTTCAGGCACAACTTGCAGTACCAAGGAGAAGCTGTCACTGAAAGCCAGCAATCTGTCCATTCCTTTTTTTTTCCCCAGGAGGCAGCCAATGGACCTTGTCAGTGCTCCCCATATGGGATGTGCAAACAAACTGGCCATATTCCAATGACATCAGCCTTCCTCTAATCTAGTCCAAAAATAATACAACTGAGTAAACGGATGTCATTGGAGTACGGCCTACTTATATGTTCTCTCCAGACAGACAAGGTGTGAGGAGTTGATTTCTATTCTAGTTAAAACACTTGGAAGTAAAGTATAAGTATGTATTTGACAATGTGTTTGTATGCCTGCTTAGTTACTACAGCTATATTCTTCACGCGTCCTGATGAAGCAGAAATGAGAAATGACTCATGAAGACTTGTTTCCACACTACTAAGGCAATTAGCCAGATATTTTCAATTATTTGTAAATATTCACGTGCTGCAATGCTGTCTTAAGCCATGTTACAAACAAATATATTGTTCTTATGGACCTATTGTTGGTCACGCTTTTTTTCATGATTAATTATTGTAATAAAAAGTGATCTTTTATGTATCTTGAGTTGTGTCCTATGCTATTCCATGAGTTAGACTAAACTTTTTCTAGATATTGTTCTTTCCAGTCTTAACTTATTTAGGATAGAGTAAGGATTTAAGTTCTGCAAGCATTTTATTTGTCTGCTAACCCATTTGGGGAGATTGTCCCTAACCTCCTGTCCTTGTGACCCTATTTAAGAAAGGGTTGCAGTAAACACCTATAACAACTGTCAGACATTCTAAATCTTTCCTCACTTTACACAAACTGAGGTTTTTGTCTGTGTGCCTGCTAAAGATTATTAAAGGGGTAAGGGTTAGATCTCAACTCCAATCTAAAGGTTTCATTCTTTGGACTGAGTAGAGAAGTAAAACCTTGTCAGCATTTGACTGCTGTCTGTGTCCTGTTACTTGTAACAGGAAGCTGAATGAACATAAGTAATGAGAAACCATGCAAGACAAAGCAACAGGTTTTCTTCAGTGGTGGCTCTCCAGCTGCAAACTCATCCACCCTTTTGCTTCCCTGCAGTACTGTTTAACTGCTGGGAGCAAAGATTAAAAGCCCTATGTAAGGGATGACTTGGAACCTATGGAGTGCTAAGGGTTTTCTTGGAGGAGCCAATCATGGAGAAATGTTGATTGAACTGGATGAACTTGGATGGTCTTTTTTTCATCCTATTTATGTAACCAGTGCTGTCACATGGGAAGAAGGTGAATGAGTCACGTGCTTCACTATACCCTAGAGGCCTAGACCATTGATATTTTATTTTACTCACAGGGGTCAAGTGGAGCAGAGGGGCAGAGTGAAGGGTAGGAAAACATGTGCTGTAGGTGGGGCTGTCAAAGTGACCTTACTGCACCGTCCTGCAAGGGCAAAGCATTGGTTTGTTTTAAAGGGAACTAGATAAAACAGACTTGACCGGTCTCACAAATGTGACCAAAGAATGACTAAAGAAAT